GCCATCCAGTGAAGATCGAACTCTCTTTTCAGTAGTAACTGATCTAGCAAGACAAGCTTGCTAACCATTACACCATGCCGATGTACCCCAGTTAGCAGCCAGTAGTCTTAGAAAGTAAGCCATCTTAGACGAAACCAGGTCCACCTAGACACGGGGTCTTAACACTTTAAACTCTTTTCAGTAAATAAACATTTGCTACTGAGGCCTAACCGATAATCTTTTTCGGCTAGAAAAACTGTCATTGCCTCTGAGGAAACTAAATCATTTAAAAATCATTTATTATTTTCTTATAAATCCGCCGAAGGGCAGAGTCTCGTTCGGGGGAGGTTGACCAACCCAATCCCGTTTATATACGGGTTCTACGTGGCATTTTTGGCCGAGTCTATATTTCGGAGAACCGACGTTAAAAAAATACGGCCTTGTGCCACATGCAACCCCTCGTGGGAGGGTGGCTAAATATACTAACCGATAACTGTCGGCGTGAGTAGAGCCCTACGCTTGTGCGATACGTATGTACGGTTTTAGCATCTCTCAGTCGCGTTTCTCTGTTTGGGCAGAGCGCAACTCAGTTGTGCCTCTGTCTGTGAACAGAGCGCAGCTGGAAATATATTTAGACGTACACAGTCCAGGGGAACCGCGGCTTATGACAGTACCTCCCTCATTGCACTAAAGAGGCGGAATCAGTAGAATTACACTTTCGCACCTCTCATGACACTTATCAACCATTATGTCTTTTTTCAGTTCTTTTTTTAATTTAAAAAAAAACAAACAAATACAAATAGATTTCTTTTTTCTTAATATTTGTTTCATAATTTATTGATTTTAATTTTAAATAATACATTTCAAAGTAAGTCGTAAGTTGAGCGAATATAATAAGTCGGATTTTTTATTTTATTAATGTATATATATATTAATTGGTTTGATGTTTTTCTTCCCCCACCCCAAAAAAAAACCCATCTTGGCCTCATGTGGGAAAATCAGTACACCCAGGCATACCCGATTTATAACATCAAACAACCCAAGTGTAGATTTTATTATTATTTTATTTTATTTTATCTTTAGTTTAAAAAAACAGATTTTTCTTTTTCCTTAATATTTGTTTCATAATTTGTGAATTCTAATTTTAAATAATACATTTCTCTAAGTAAGTCGTAAGTTGAGCGAATATAATAACTGTATTTTTCTGTTTTATTTTATTAATATATATATATATATTTTAACCCGGATATAAGAGAGTTGTACGGGACCGGAGAAGAAGTCTCTTATATCCGGGTTTTGTTGCTTATATCCGGGTTTAGTCTATTTTGTTTAGGTAACACAGGCTCTAATTTGGGACCAGATAAAATCTCTCTTATATCCGGGTTTCTCTTATATCCGGGTTTCTCTTATATCCGGGTCTCTTACATCCGGGTTACACTGTATATTCATGAGTTTGATGTTTTTTCTTCTTAAAAAGAAAACAAAAAAAAACAAAAAAAAACACCACCCCGTCTTGGCCTCGTGTAGGAAAATCAGTAGAACCAAGCATACCCGATTTATAACATCAAATAGCCCAAGTGTAGATTTTATTAGACCTAAAGCTAGTAGCAAATTTACTCTGTGTGCGGGCTGAATATTGATCATATTCGATCAGGTTGCCCATTGAAGAAGTTTGTTGTTTATTTAGGCCTGACATTTTTTATTTAGTGACATGAGAGCAAGAACACTGATGACACACCTAGCGTCGGCACTTAAAGGTATAATTTTAGCCATTTCTTTATCTTTCTAACATTCTTTTTAGAAACTTTTGACAGCAGAAACCCATCTACAGAAGCTTTTTAAAACCATTGCTAGTGTTTGTAAATTAAATTTAATTATTAATAATTGCAACAGTCCAACTGTTGTTATTTTAAATTAATTTTATGAAGTTAAACTTTTTTTAAAAAAAACTTATTTAAAAATAACTTGTTTTTTTTTCAGTTTATAAATTTATCTGGTTGTGTTTTTAAGGTTATTTAAGTTGTTGGGTTTCGGCAATTTTTGCCCCTAGGCCGGATGCCTCTACATTAAACCTACCTTGTGTCACATTCCGTCACCGTGGGTAAGCGAGGACGAGTTGATATATAGAAGTCTATGATTTAGTCGTAAAGAGACCGAAGGAAACAAAATAAATTAAATATACATTTAATTTTTGTTGTTGATATTCTATAAAAATGCATTGTTGGTAATTTTATTAAAAAATGTATTGCAGATAATTTTACTATAAAAATGCATTTCTGGTAATTTTATAATGAAAGTGCATTGTCGGTGATTTTCTATAAAAATGCATTGTTGGCAAGTTTATTATAAAACTCCATTGCTGATAAATTTCCTATAAAAATGCATTGTTGCTAATATTCTTCTAAAAATGCATTGTTACTAATTTTATTATAAAAATGAATTCTTGGTAATTTTACTATGGAACCGCATCATTGGTGATCTTATATAAAAATGCATTGTTGCTAATATTCTTCTAAAAATGCATTGTTGCTGATTTTACTATAAAAATGAATTCTTGGTAATTTTACTATGGAACCGCATCATTGGTGATCTTATATAAAAAATGCATTGTTGCTAATATTCTTATAAAAAATGCATTGTTGTTTTACTATAAAATGAATTTTGGTAATTTTACTATGGAATCATTGGTGATTTCTATAAAAATGCATTGTTGCTAATATTCTTATAAAAATGCATTGTTTTTACTATGGAACCGAATCATTGGTAATTTTACTAAAATGAACCGCATCATTGGTGATCTTATAAAAATGCATTGTTGCTAATATTCTTATAAAAATGCATTGTTGCTAATTTTACTATAAAAATGAATTCTTGGTAATTTTACTATGGAACCGCATCATTGGTGATCTTATAAAAAATGCATTGTTGCTAATATTCTTAAAAAATGCATTGTTGCATTTTACTATAAAATGAATTCTTGGTAATATTCATTGGTGATCTTATAAAAATGCATTGTTGCTAATTTTCTTATAAAAAATTTTACTATTTTAAAAATGAATTTGGTAATTTTACTATCATTGGATCTTAAAAAAATGCATTGTTGCTAATATTATATAAAAATGCATTGTTACTAAAAATGAATTTCTTTTACTAACCGCATCATTGGTGATCTTAAAAAAAAATGCATTGTTGCTAATATTCTTATAAAAATGCATTGTTTTAATTTTACTATAAAAAAATTCTTGGTAATTTTACTGGTATTGGTTTTTATATAAAAATGCATTGTTGCTAACCGTTGCTAATTTTACTATAAAAATGAATTCTTGGTAATTTTAAAATGCATTGTTGGTGATCTTATATAAAATGCATTGTTGCTAATATTTATAAAATGCTTGTTGCTAAAAAAATGAATTCTTGGTTATTGTTACTAATTTTATTGGTGATCTTATAAAAATGAATTCTTACTATAAAAATTTTACTATGGGAACCGCATCATTGGTGATCTTATATAAAAATGCATTGTTGCTAATATTCTTATAAAAATGCATTGTTGCTAATTTTACTATAAAATGAATTCTTGGTAATTTTACTATGGAACCGCAATTTTACTATAAAAAATGCATTGTTGCTAATATTCTTTCTTGGTAATTTTACTATGGAACCGGAACCGCATCATTGGTGATCTTATATAAAAATGCATTGTTGCATAATATTCTTACTATGGAGAAAATGCATTGTTGCTGATTTTACTATAAAAATGAATTCTTGGTAATTTTACTATGGAACCGCATCATTGGTTGATATTCTATAAAAAAATGCATTGTTGCTAATATTCTTATAAAAATGCATTGTTGCTAATTTTACTATAAAAATGAATTCTTGGTAATTTTACTATGGAACCGCATTTGTTGGTGATTGTTGCTATAAAAAATGCATTGTTGCTAATTTTAATATTTCTTATAAAAAACTGCATTGTTGGTGATGCATTGTGCATTGTTGCTAATATTCTTCTAAAAATGCATTGTTTTTTTACTATAAAATGAATTTTTGGTATTTTACTATGGAACCGCATCCTCTTATATAAAATGCATTGTTAATATTTTATAAAATGCATTGTTGCTAATTTTACTATAAAAAATGAATTCTTGGTGGTTTACTATAAACCGCATATTGTTTATATAAAATGCTAATATTCCTATAAAAATGCCTTGTTGCTAATTTTATTATAAAAATGCATTCCTAGTAATTTTACTATGAGAGCGCATTGTTGGTGATCTATAAAAATACACTGTTGCTAATTTTACTTTAAAAATGAATTTCTGGTAATTTTATAATGAAAGTGTATTGTTGGTGACTTTCTATAAAAATGCATTGTTGGTGATTTTATTTTAAAAATTCATTGCTGATAATTTTCCTATAAAAATGCATTGTTGGTTATTTTACTATTGAAAGGAATTCCTGCTAATTTTACTATGAAAGTGCATTGTTGGTATTTCTTATTATAATATATTGCTGGTATTTTGACTATGGAAACATATTTTTATACTTTTCGAATATTTTTATTTTTATTTGGTTAATCACTATTTGCATATAGTTGGGCCCCCGTGTCTAGGTGGACCTGGGAACAAATGCAATTGTTACAAGTTCCACAAAACTCCCCCAATCTCCTGATAAGAAGCTTTGATGAAAGATATTTGTTTAATCTTTAATACTCACAGAGGAATTCATCGTTTGTTTTCGTTGCGTTGTCCTAATGAAGGAAGGTAAGGTTCTTTTTCTTCTCCGACAAGTTGTGGGCAAAGTGTAAAACATTCAGCACCCTATATTCTTAGAATGTAGGCTATCTTAGACATCAGGCTTTTGTCCTAGCTCGCATGCAACAACATTAAACCTACCTTATGTTCATTCCATCAACGTGGGTAAGCGGGACGGGTAAATATATAGAAGTCTATGATTTAGTCGTAAAGAGACCGAAGGAAACCAAAAAGTAAAATAAATTCTTTGTTTTTTTTAAATTGCAGAAAAAATTCTTCTTGTTTTTTGCCTGACATCGCTTGGTACCCTCATCTGCATGAATGTCTACTACTTTGCCATATATGGTATCAACACCCTTCCGTCCAAATCCACAAAGTCAAGACCAGAGATGTTTGAATGCAAACTTTCCGAAGCCAGTATTAGTCACGGAAACGAACGAACAAAGCCGGACAACGTTAAGCTTCTCCAATCAATAAGACATAAATTAACTGTTCCGAAAGACGTCACAACAAACAGAACTCGTACTAATTCAAAAAGAAAATACAAACCGACTTATATTTGCATAATTTTCAGAGGCGGACTCGGCAACATGATGTTTATGTACGCTTCGGCCTATGGCATGGCTCGCTTGAAAAACATGGACGTTTTAGTTGCCCGATCGGATGAAATCAATAAATTATTTGAAATCGACAGATTTGCTCGGGTCGAGCCGGACACTTCCCTCTGCAATGGTTTGAGACGTCATGGAGAACGTCAAAGTAGCGCCTTTTCTGAAAGAGTACTTAGCTTTAGTAATAAGAAAAGTATCAAATTGTCTGGGTTTTTCCAGTCTTTTAAATATTTCGAAAAAGTCTCTGACTCCATACATTCCCAGTTTACCTTCAGGAAGCACATACGACAAGCAGTCGACGCCATTTTGTTGAACATCAAGAAATTACATCTCCGACGTAAACGTAATAAAAACCTGAAATTAACCCTAATTGGAGTGCATGCCCGTCGCGGAGATATGATGAGTGAAAGGAACAAAAAATACGGATATTTAACTGCCGACACGCATTATTTCGAAAAGGCCATGAAATGGTTTCGTTCAAGATATCGGAATACAGTGTTTGTCGTCTGCTCCAATGATATTACTTGGTGCAAGAACACGCTAAGCCGACACCATGATGTTTATTTTGTCGAGCGTCAGACGAGGGAAGTTGATCTTGCTGTACTTTCATCTTGCAATCATATGATAATGTCTGTCGGCACGTTCAGTTGGTGGGCTGCTTGGTTGTGTAAAGGGACAGTAATATATTATTTCCCTCCGGCAAGAGAAGGATCGAAGAGAAGAATGAAACACAGTAGTAATTACTCCGATTATTTTCCATCTAAGTGGATCCATTTCTGATATTGCATAGAACATCTATCTATCTATCTATCTATCTATCTATCTATCTATCTATCTATCTATCCCAGTTTTTAATCTATCTATCTATCTATCTATCTATCTATCTATCTATCTATCTATCTATCTATCTATCTATCTATCTCATTCATTTCATTATCTGTCTATCTATTAGGGACCCCCCCACAAAAAACAAAAGAAAAGAAAACAAAAACAAAAACAAAAAACAAAAAAAAAAAAAAAACGCGATACCTAAGTTTGAAAATGAATTTTAAAAAAATGAAAAAGCTTTAATTCAGTTTTAATTTCAAGCCAATTTAATATTTCCAAAAAGCAAGATACTTTGCTGTATTTCAAAACGTAATTGTTGGAAAATATACTCCGTAATCTAATTTTAGGAATCAATTTACTATAGTCATCGTTCTTATTTTCTGATTATGTCGTGTATGCTCGCCCATACTTTCAAAACGGCTACATTTATACACGTAAAAAAATTATTTTCAAAAATCTTGGTGCAAAATGATTTGTATTAAGCTTTTCAATTTTTCATTAGTAAATATAATTTTCATTTAATGACAATACCATCTAACTCAATTAAAGTAATGCCGAATTTTAAAAGATTTCTACATAAATTGTTATAACCAATTATAGTGATTAAAATAAAAAAATGAAAACAATTCTTTAAAAAAATCAGTATTCTTTTTGTTAAGACAATAGTATCCTAAATAAATCTTATTTATAAAAACAATTAAAAGGTTTTTTAATTAAATCATGTAATAATTCTATAGCATTTTTATTTTATGATTTGGAGCAGATTGGCAGGGAATGTGTAGCAGTTTGAAAATAAAAACCTGATGATTTACATTCTCCAAGGAGTCCTGCTTTTAACTAATAAAGCGAATTTTGAGATTAACATTTATTTTCACGAAATTTCTTGAAATTAAGTAAGTTGGGAGGTAACATATGTAAAAAAAAAAGAAGAATTTACTAACATTTTCTAAAAAGAATTCAAAATAATTTCATTCATTTGCGAATAAGTTCTGAAAGTTTCATTAAAATCCGACAATTATTTGATTTTTGCAAGAATTTCAAAATTAATGTGTTTTTCACCGGAAAGAAGTCGCTAAATCACTAATCGTAAATATTAAGTCAAAAAGTGAGAAAAAAAAAAAAAAAAAAAAAATAACCAAAATTTCGAACATGCTAAAAACGATTAAAAATTTAATAAAATAATAAAAAAAATACTTTGGACTTTCCTCTTAATAATGACATAAACATTTTGACGATAAAACTTTGTGTTTATTACTTTGGGGACTTTTTTTTCACTGAGGCACTTTCTATCTATCTATCTATCTATCTATAAGATAAAGAACAAGTAGGAAATGTTTATCAATCCACCATGTTTCACTTTTATTAAAGCTTCATCAGAGAATGAGATATAGAGAAAAAGAAGAACTTGTGTGGTTGATATATACATATATGTATATGTGATAAGATAAAGAACAAATAGGAAACGTTTATCAATGTAACATGTTTCTCTTTTATTAAAGCTTCATCAGGGAATGAGATCTTGTAAAAAAGGAAGAAAGAAATTCTGGTATTTTTTACTTTTGTGTTGTTTGATTTTCATTGGTTAATCAGATTTCGCGCGCATTCAACTATTTTAAAACAATGTTAATATAATTTATGGTGTTCCGATTTCAGGGAGAGACAAAGCGACTCTTCGAAGTTCCAAAAAGTTAAGTTTTTCCATGTATTTTTATTTTATCATTCTGTCGGATTCCGATCCATATTTGATTTATATTTAATCTCATTCTATCTATCTATCTATCTATCTATCTATCTATCTATCTATCTATCTATCTATCTAGCTTAGTCTGTCCATATCTATCTATCTATCTATCTATCTATCTATCTAGCTTAGTCTGTCCATATCTATCTATCTATCTATCTATCTATCTATCTATCTATCTATCTTAGTCTGTCCATATCTATCTATCTATCTATCTATCTATCTATCTATCTATCTATCTATCTATCTATCTAGCTAGCTAGCTAATAGTCTGTCCATATCTATCTAACTATCTATCTAGCTTAGTCTGTCCATATCTATCTATCTCTCTAGCTTAGTCTGTCCATATCTATCTATCTATCTATCTATCTAGCTAGCTAGCTAGCTAGCTAGAGGTAGCTTAGCCTGTCCATATCTATCTATCTATCTATCTATCTTAGTCTGTCCATATCTATCTATCTGTCTATCTATCTAGCTTAGTCTGTCCATATCTATCTATCTATCTATCTATCTATCTAGCTAGCTAGCTAGCTTAGTCTGTCCATATCTATCTATATCTCTAGCTTAGTCTGTCCATATCTATCTAACTATCTATCTAGCTTAGTCTGTCCATATCTATCTATCTCTCTAGCTTAGTCTGTCCATATCTATCTATCTATCTATCTATCTATCTATCTAGATTTTTTCTTGTGGGGATTCTTAAAAGATTGCGTCTATGTTCCACCGCTACCCACTAGCCTCAATGACCCTAAACATTGAATAACAACAGTGATCAACTCAGTGGATCATGATATGCTGATACGCGTCTTGGGCGGGGGGGATTCTCTTATCGCATTGATGTGGCCCGTGCTTCAGGTGGTGGCCACATCGAACACTTGTAAGACAGGAAATAAAAGTTGATTGTGAGTAAATTCCACAAGCGAGAGGTGCGAGAAAAGAAACTGTTGGCATAGAATTTACGGTTACATCTCGTCAGCTCAATTGTAAATTGATGAGATCTCGACGCCAGTCCGTATCACCCCATGCAGGGAAATAAAGCCACTAAGACACAAGGGGTTGAAGCGTGTAGAGGAATTAGGAACAGAAACATTAATAATGAGCGGGAAGAGAAATCAGGAGGACAATAAATAGCGATTTACATCTCATCTAAGTTTTTGCAGGTTAAAGTTGGCTGGAAAGCATGGAGCCAGAAGGGAGTTCCACAAGCGAGAAGTGCAAGTAAAGAAACTGTTAGCATAGAACTTGCGGTTACATCATGCCATCTCAACACTAAATTGATGAGATCTCGACGCCAGTCAAGTACTACGATTAAATTAAAAAAAAAATCTAGGTACCATAGTGAAGAGCAATATTTATTCTGTTATCTACAGAAATATGGCACAAGGTCGTAGGGGGGTTTGGGGAAAAGACGGTCTTCTGTCTTAAATATAACTTAGCTAGCCGCAAACACTGACCCAATCGTACGAACAATATTCCTTACACCAAAACAACACATTCATACGTACCTTTCTTACTACATCCACCATAATACCACACCGTCTCTATGAAAATACTAACTAGTCCCCATATTTACAATTCATTGTCTGTGGTGGGAGGGGAATAAAAACAAAATTTCTAAAAACTAGCCCCAAAGCGAAGAGCTCATCTGAACAATTACCACGAAAGTATTTATAGAAATGACACAGAAAGACAAGCTTACGACGGTGGGTAAGCAATTGAAATTGAACCGTCATATCAGGACAAAAATAATATTGCTGAATTTTCTTTGTGTTTTATCAAGGAACTCAAGATAAATAGGAAGAGTCCCGAACCATATGTGGCAGCAATATTCTAGCAATATTGGTAACATTCTTAAACGCATGAAAGTCAGCGGTTCATTTTCATTTTGAAAACGTTTACGTTTTTCGTTACGTTTTCTGTCTATGGTTTTGTGTGCAGTGCTCAGAAAAATTAGAAGGTTTCGCTTACCACTAATATCGCTAAAGTTCACCAACTTTTTTTAATCATTTCACCCCAAGCAAGGTGGGAATGCCACTAGTACGCAGGGGGTTACAGAGATTGAAAATGAGAGAAAAAAACTGGGTATGGTGGTGGGAGGATCGAGGAACGGATAAATAGTGAACGGTGTTCAAGACGACAGAAGATTGAGGCTGCATTCAATTTTTTTTAATATTGTAGTTTTCGGGAAAGCGAGCAAATGGAAGGGAGTTTCGCTGACGGGACGTGCAAGAAAAGGAACTGTTGAAACTGGCGGTTACATTTAACTATTTCAACAGTAAAAAGGTGGGATCTAGATGCCAATCTGGTAGCACGCTTAAATTCACGTATTTGGGGCACCAAGGGAAAAGGCTCGTCAGAGCAGCTGCCATGAAAATATTAGTAGAAAAGACAGAGGGAAGCCACACCACGTCGGTCAGAAAGTGACTGAAGTCGAGATGCCAGGTCAGGATTAATTATATTGCAGATCTTTCTTTTTGAATGCCCCTTCTTTTTCAGTTCGTACATTGTTTTAGAGAAAATTCAGAGTCACTTTGTCGTTTTATCCTTTCTCCTCATTTTTTTTTCCTTTAGATATTTTTGCGGGTATAAATAATTTTGATGAGATTTTATAAGCTCTTGGTATATTTCACCCGATATCAATTTTTGGTGGACTCGTATAAGTCCAAAGAAAAAAATAAGACATAGAATTTGAACAACGAAATATTAACAAATATACTGTCAAGACAGTTTACAAAAGAAAAGATGAGAAATGAAATGAAATGTAAAAAGTTCAAACCAACCATAAGTGTCTGTAGTTGATGACTCACATTTTTTCAGGTGCGAAAAGAATACTATAAAAAGTCACTGAGAAAGAGATCGATTCTTTCAAATCCCGCGCCGCCTGTAACTATCGTCAGGGGGTGGTAAATTCCAAAATTTTGACACCTGTGATTATCATCAGGGGGCGGTAATTCAACAATGTGCGTATGTGCGCGCGAATTTTCAAAATGTTGAATTTGATGATCAATATTAAAAACAAAAATTAACTTTTAAGTTTAGAAATATCAGATGTGCCATAAAAGTTTCCTTTTATTTTTTAGTATGATCTTTTAAAGGAGAAACGTCATAGTGTGGTGAGAGGACACAGCAGTGATAAGAGGGGAAAGGGCGTTATATGTTAAACTGACACGGTAGTGAGGCGAGAGCACACAACAGTGTGGTTAGCGGACACAGCGGCGTGGAGACGGCAAAGGGCGCAGTAAGTTCAACTGACACAACAGTAAGTTGAAAGTACACTACAGTGAAATGAAAGGACACAAAAGTTAGATGATAAGAAAGGCCACATTAAATGTCTGTAGTTGTTGACTCACATTTTGCAGGTGTGAAAAGAATACTATAAAAAGTCACCGAGAAAGAGATCGATTCTTTTAAATCTCGCGCCGCCTGTAATTATCGTCAGGGGGTGGTAAATTCCAAAATTTCGACACCTGTGATTATCATCAGGGGGCGGTAATCCAACAATGTGTTTATGGACGCGCGCATTTCGAAAATATTGAATTTGAAGACCAATATTAAAAAAAAAAAGAACTTTTAAGTTTCGAAACTTCAGATATGCGATAAATGTTTCCTTTTATTTTTTTTAGTATGATCTTTTAAAGCATTAGGATCGATCTGCTTTTTCTTCAACAGTTGTTTTTTTTTTTTTTACCACGTTCCAAAGCAATGAGCAAGAACTTTACTGAAAGCATTCAAAATTTCTACCATAATTACTACAGATTGTCTTTACTTTATGGTCGGGTTTTTCATCCCCACAAATATTACGACTAAAACCGAAAACTCCCTTACAGAAGATCCCAGAAAGCTACTTGAATAATGATAACCATTTCACTTAACACTTGCTAAATATTAAGGGAAGATATTTTGTGGGAGTGTTCCATGGGACTAACAGAGGGTGAAAATATTTTCCCAATTGTATTTATATCTAGTAATTCTGGGGGATCGGTTTATTACTTAATTACATTAGAAATTCAGTTCTACACTTTATGTCAAGTAGAATCTTATATAAATACTAATTGTAGAAAATTCAATAGATTTATGTAATATCACTAAAGCTCAAAATACACTCATTTTTGACACAAACCAGACCCATTTTGTGCACAAAATACACCCATTTTCGTGCAGAAAACACACTCATTTTGTGCACAAAATGCACTTATTTTGTGCATAAACTAGACTCATTTTGTACACAAAATAGACTCCGATTTGAATTTCCGCATTCGTATATATTAATCAATCAGCGACGTTTATTTCAAACGAGTTGAAAAAAAAATAAACAAAAAAACAATAATATTTGTCATCTGCTACGAAATTTGAGGGATCAATCCAGAAAATGATCAATAATATTTTCCCTCCTAAAAACAGTATTTCAAAATTGGTAAAATATTTATTAACCTATAAACATCTGAGATTAGTAAGTTAATATTTAACTTCTATGAGTCTATCTATTTTTTTAATAAATATTCGTGGCGTTAAGATAGTAATGAGTTTTTCAGTTTTCCGTAAACCAGCTTCGTTTGTTCGTTGTTGTGAACAAGCTGAATTCTCAAACCTTTCGAATAATTTATTACTCAAACATTTTACATATTTTATTCGAGTATCTTCTTATACAGCATAGCGATTTTAAAGTAAATTATGCACAGTTGAAACATAGGAACGGAGTTTTGTAAAAAAAAAATCGTCAGCAATTGTTATAATACAGACATTGTCGTCTGTTGACTGCTACTGGTAGAAAATTACACGCATTCGTAAAACAACGTAAATACGTGACACTTTCCTTATGTAAAGACATTCAATTTCTTCTATCACACTAATGCAATTGATTCGAATCTATTGTAAAGAAAGAAAAAGTATTTTCGTGTGAATTTGTTTCGCAAGGATCTTTTTTAATTCGTTTCTTTTAACTCAAAGAAAGAAAACAAATAGTCTGTAATAAAATTAATTTAAATTTGTAGAGCCAGGAGAGGAGAAAGGTCGCAGTGAGGTGAGAGAACACAGTAGTGGAGTGAGAGGACATAACAGTGAGCAGAGGAAAAGGCCGTATTCAATTCAGAGTACAGAGCAGTGGAGAAAGGAGACCACACTGAGAGGAGAAACGTCATAGTGTGGTGAGAGGACACAGCAGTGATAACAGGGGAAAGGGTGTTATGTGTTAAACTGACACGGCAGTGAGGGGAGAGAACACAACAGTGAGGTGAGTGGACACAGCAGAGGGGAGACAGG